GGTTTAATAATTAAGCAGCTGTATTGTATTTTGTTAGCTCCACTTAACACATACACAGTGTGTAAATCACTGGAAGTCTTAGTATAAACCAGATCTGAAGTGAGTCAATTATTAAGAACACAAAAAAACTTTACTAAATGGTGAAAAGTCACCTTTTTTGTTTAATTAATGCCTCATTTCAAACACAAACCGTAAACTTTGTAAGCTTTGTGAGTGATATTCATGCTACAAATGCCATCCTCAGTCAAACTGACATGAGGGTAATTCACATTAACTCAATCAACAGCACGCTAAAGTCAGGAAGGAGGACTCTGGATCAATATTTTCATCTTGTGTGTTCAGGCCCATCGCTCAGCATTAATCATTCCCACCGCAGAGGTACAGCAGCGCCTTCTGGTAGTCTCCAGCCGTGTCCTCCTGCAGGAGATAAGCCGGAGACCGGGTTTTATCAGTCACTGTCTTTTTTAAAATTTTTTTGCTCTTACTGTTTTTTAATCTTTGAGTTTGTCTTGTGTTGTGGTGATAATTGTGTTTTATGATCTGCTCAAATGGCCCGTACAGCGCTTTGATTTTAGCTTTGGCTGACTGAAAGCGCTTTATAAATAAAGTTGAGTTGAGTTGAGTTGAGTTGAGAAATGTCCTTATCACTGTCGTTGTGTTTGAAAGAGATGTTTCCTTTTGGTGTTTTAAATATAGAAACCAACAGGACGCTTAGAGAAAATGGTCCTGAAAAAGAGCCATTTCAAGGAGGGCAAATTTGGCCACATTTTTGGGGGGATTTACAGAGACCAAAAAGCATATAAACACAATTACTACGGATAACTCTGTTGGCTTTTTCCTTTGTTGACAAGATCCTTCTATTAGTTAGATATGAGAACAGCTAGATCTGAGAAAAACAGAAAAACTTTGATTGGTCCATAGGATTAAAACTAGTTTGGTAGGATTTTCACTCAGATCGTTTTGTTTTCTTCATTAAGATATCAAACGTTCAAATTACACAGAAAATATATGTTTGTTTTATTTGTGTGCAAACACACAAACTCAGATTATTTTTCAAATGATGAACACAATTACTACAGACAATTCTGTCCTTTCTCTCCTTTGTTGACAAGATCTGAGAACAGCTATATAAAGAATCTGTTCTAATAAAACTCATCAGTCCCATAAACTGTTTTTGCTCTATTCCAGCCTGTTGACATATTTCATGTTTGATTTAATCTTTGTAATTAGAGAGGTCCTCTATATCCTGCCTTCTTTGGATTAAGCTGCAAACCCAACGTCTCCATAATAATAAATGTTGTCTGGGCAGCTTGTAATTTTGACCTGGAGACTATGAAAGTGTTTTATCACTAAAAAATTAAGAAGAAGAAGCAAGACTGCACGATTTGGGTGAATTAATAAAAATAATTGCAGCAAACACTGGACTTATCCATTTTTACAGAGAAAGGCATGGAAGAAAGAAAGGGTTTCAATTTACATCCATTCATATAATCTTGATTTGCGTTAAGTATATTGAGATTCTCAGTTAAATAAATTAAAATAGGTACATTTGCATGATTTCTTGAATTAATTTGAAATAGGAGCTCAAATATTAGAATGATACTTTCCTCTTTAATAATTTCAAGATTTTTTTTATTGTTCATTCTTGGCCATTTGGGAGTATTAAAGGAGAATGGTTGTAACTCTTCTCTGTGGGAACATTTGGCCCTGGGAGAATAGATTAATTCAGTTCAGCCTGTGAGAGAAGCAGAAAAATAGTCTCTGAAAACTGCAAGATCGGCTTTATTTCAGTTGACTGTTTGAGGTCCACTATTTGGTGAGCCTGAAAAACGTATTAGTATTATTTAAATCAGGGGTCTTCGAGGTTTTCCAGGCCAAGGACCCCCAAACTGATGGAGGGGGACCCCTTAATTATATATACTGTCTGAAATAGTGTTCAATCAAACTGGTCCTATAGTGTGTAAATGTTCCTTATTATTGGGCGTTCAGTACTAAGATCCTCAGATAATCCACAGGTTGATATATTCCTGTTTTTACTGTAAACATCTGGTTCTGGTTCCTGGTTGGTGGGACAGGTGTTGTGAATGATAGATAGATAGATAGATAGATAGATAGATAGATAGATAGATAGATAGATAGATAGATGTTTGGTCTTTACCTGGATGGTGGAGTACAGAGACTGTTTGTACATCCTCTTGAAGCTTTCTCTGATGTCCAGCATGTCCACCTCACTCCTGGACACCATGATCCTCATCAGAGTTTCGTCATCAGTTCCAGCTCGCTGCGAATGTCAAAGAAAAGAAGAAGAAAAACATTTCACTCGCTGAGGTCAAACATTTAAAGATTTTTTTAAAGAAAAATCTGCTTTTTTTGCACATAACCTCTGACATGATGTTGTTCTTTGGTCAAAGGCTTATCTTATCCTTTATTTTAAAAAATAACTATGTCTTTGGATTAGGCAAACATATTATTTATATCTATAAAACTAAAGCAGCTTTACAGATTTAAGGAATTCTAAGATGGAGGCATTCCACCACAAATTATATCATCAGACTTTTAAAATTAACAGCAAAGGCATTTTGGAAAATGTCCATGTTTCCTTTTTTGCTAAAATAATTTCTTTACAAGAAGATTCGGTAGTTCTTAGATATGATAGGAGACTAAAAGCTATAGAAAATGTGTTGATATTATCACGAATTTAATAGAAAAGATGACAACACTTCCCTTTCAGTGCTTTATCCAGTGTGGGTGTGAAAGTGAAGTTTACCCTCATAGATTTATAGAGATTCTCAGCAAAGAAGCCGGGGACACTCCTCATACATTTCACTGTCAAGACAAACGCATTGAGAGGTTCAAGTTAAGCTCGTGAGCGTGTTGGCATTGGTTCAAACTGTCAGGTCTTACATCCCGATTGTATTTTATTTAAAGATGTATATGTCAGGAAGGTGGGTCTTGAGGGAGGACTCAGTCGCGGAGATTTGGAAAAACAGGGTTTATTGTAACAAAAGCACTCTCAAAGAGTGGATGTCAAGACAAAGTTCAAAACAAGGCTGTGGCAAAAACTATGAACAAAGTAACAGAGCAAGATTAAACATGACTGAGGCAAAGTATCAAAGTAAGAGTAAACAAGGCTATGGCAAAAGCAACAAACAAGGCTGTGAACAAACTATGAACAAAGTATCAAAGCAATAAGGTTAACAAGGCTGTGGCGTGGCTGTGAAAAACTATGGCTATGGAACAAAGTAAATAAGACAAAATGTGGCAAAATCAAACCTGACGTGGCGAGGGGTGACGAAAACAGACAAACGAAAACACACTGGCCCAGGACATGGGAAACGAAGACTATTTAAACACATGAGGGAGGGGAACCCCAGGTGAACACAATAGGTAATCAAGACGTGAAGACACACCAGAAATTCCCCCAGAGGTGACAGTATAGCACAAAACAAGAAGGCAGAAGGCCCACAGGGAGCCGTGGTCAGTGCTGGTGGGCGTTAGTGGGTCTCACCAAGAGCCAGGAGTAAGTCCTCCAGATTTCCAGTGGTCTCTCCTTTAATACTGTCCTCTATATCAGAGCCGGAGATCTTCCTGTAGGCATCAAAAACTACAGAAAACCAAATAATGGCAACGCTTTTAATGAAGAATCAAGATGGTCAGGTCATTTTGAGTGTCAACTTAAAATTGACATTTTGGTTTGGTGATGATTCCATGTAGTTACTCCGGGTTAAAATAAAAATAAATATAAAATATTCCAGCATGAGATACATAAACCGCCTTCTGTGGTGTTAAGAGCAAAAGGAAGTCACATGTGGATGGAAGATATAATCATGACAATAATGTAAGAATCAACTCTGATGGTTGGTCATAATTAGTCCTTAAAATCGACCTTAAAGTGATATTTTCTATGTAACTTCACACAAAGAAAATGAAAGAGAGATCGTAAATGTGCCCTATGTTTGGATCTTTGATGACTAAAAAGATCTTTGTGTGACTTTAATGGTTCTCTTACTGATGTTTGTGGAATAAACCACTTCCAAACTGAAATGAATCCCATCTTTTCTCGTAATGTTACCTAAGATAAAGGTAAAACTGCATCCAGGAAGAGGAAATCTGGGTAATTTCCCATTAGCTGACAAATAAATGGCCACTAGTCTTCCTGGGGTCCTCACATGAAGAAATTATATTACATTATAAACAGATCATAAAAAATAAAAATAAAAATCACAGTAGGAAATAATAAAAACATAAACAAGAGTAGACTATACAACATATACACACAGGTCAGTTCATGTTATCATTTTCAGTAGTTCTGAAGACACAATATTTTTGAAGCTTGTTCTGTTCTGAACTCTTCGTGTGGTTATTGGTTCCAGTGAAATACGGCTCTATAATGGACTGTGGATTTTAGATAGTTTGTTCTGGGTCGAGGGAGTTTAAAGTCTCCACCTCGTGCCCGCCTTGTTAAGTAATTATGATTTTGTTCAACAAGGACTAAGTGTTCAGCAAAAAATGATGGATGTGGGAAATGCTCCTCCACATGGAGCTCACCTTTCCGGAGGTGCTCCGCACTCCTGCTGCCAAGAATTGTGACAAACGTCTCCTCATCGGTGCCAAACTTGGCCTCACCAGCAGCGAACAGGTCCTTAGATGGGAAACACACTCATGTTCAGGTCGGGAAATCGGGAAATCAATATGTGGATGATCACTTTCTCAATTTCTCCCTGGTAACTTTCCAAAATTGAAGATTTTAATTGTCTTTTTCTTCATTCAAGGTCTCAGAGAAACCAGGTCCCCTCTTGTTTTTTGTAATAATCTTTAGTCTGGAGGATTGTTTAATACAGATGCAGGAGGAAGGACGGATTTTACATCTTATTTCAGACTTGAAAATATTCATAATTTACTTTAGAGCAGCTCGGTGCTTCATATGAAGGCTGCTCTCACTTCATGAAGTTTTCCCTTTTAATACATTTCTATTTCTTACTTCCTCAGATGGACTCAGACTTTGTTTTAAAATAACATTTCCACAACAGTGGTTTAAAAAAGGGGGCTTTGTATTATTTTTTTAAGTTCCAAAACTGAATTTATGTATTTATTTTTTCATATCAGCCCTTGAATGCTATTTGTACCATATTTCATAGATAGATTTATGTAATATTTGATCCCCTCATGCAGTTACATCTTAGTTGCTTAAAAAAAATGTTATATAGAATATTTGTTATTGTTTAGGATTTTAAATTATAGGAAAATGTGAAGAAAACACTGGTTACATTGTATTTAAAAAATGGCCTTTGGTATTTATTTTTTTCTCAATTTTACAGAGGCTTCAGATAAAAGAGTTTTTGTTTCTTTTTTATTCTGTTAGTCAAGTTTTATAGGGAAAAAATCCTCTACAAGTGTCCAATACGATGTGAGCTGTGGGTGCTTCCAGAACCTCTAATTGTTTGTCTAACTGCAATACATTTTAATAATTAATAGAGGAACAGCTTTTGAACAACATGTCACATTCCTAGAAGATAACATCCCATCAATATCAGAGCTATGTTCTTCAGAAAAGATTAAAGCCTTAAAGCCTTAAAGCTTTAAAGCTTTATCTCTGGACAGTGAAAATACGAGGGAAGGAAAGTTTGCTCCGTTGATTTTTGTTATATTTGACATTGTTTTGCATCTTAAGAACCAATTCGCTTTCATTAGGAAAGCAAACGGTGTGTTGTCCATTTAGATTAGTTGTCTATGTTACAGTTTGTGAAGATGAGGTAGATAAATAAGGAATTTGAAGGACCTCAGTTGAAATTCATCATTTCTAACAGGTTTAGAACAATTTTTTCTAAAAGCTGTAAATATAAATCCCATATTATTCTCAATATAAATTGAGAATAATATGGGATTCCTAATCAACGGGAATTGCTAATGAAAGAGATTATTAGTTTTAGATTATGAACCTGCACATAGAAATGATCTCAACCGATACAAAAATTGAGAAAATTGAGAAAAAAAGTGGAGAAATGGAGAAAAAATCCAGAGCTTGACATTTCTTACCTTGGCATCCTTCTCAATCTTTTCCTCATCTATTCCCTCGTCTCTGTTCCCCTACACGGTCAGATAAAATAAAGAAGGGAAGGTCGGCAGATGGAAAGGTGGGGGGACAAAAAAGATGACAAAGATGACATCATCCTGAAAGAGCCGATTGCTTTTCTGCCTGTAAAACAAAACCAAAACCTAAAAAAAGAACCTGCTGGAAACCCGATTCCCACCTGCAGCAGCAGCAGCAGCAGCTGCCTGTAACTCCCTCTGGTGTCACCGCACACGTCCCTCTCCAGTCTGCCCCCCAACTCTGGGGGAAAGAGGAGAAGAGGGGAAGAGGAGAAGAGGAGAAGAGGAGAAGAGGGGAAGAGGAGAAGAGGAGAAGAGGGGAAGAGGGGAAGAGGGGAAAAAAGAGAGATCACGCTTACAGCTCACAACCGGCTCTAATGGCCACAGTCGTCTTCCTTTTCTCAGGAAAAGCAGAAATTTCTTTCATTTTTCTTTTTTTTTTCTTCCATTTCTTTTTTTTTCCGTCAATTTTTCTTCCATTTTTTCCCTTGCATTTCTTTTTTGTTTGTTCCATATTTCTTCCATTTTTTTCCTTTCATTTCTTCTTTGTTTCTTCCATTTCTTTTTTGTTTGTTCCATATTTCTTCCATTTTTTTCCTTCCATATCTTTTTTGTTTCTTCCATTTTTCTTATATTTTTTTCCTTCTATTTCTTCTGTTTCTTACATTTTTCTTCCATTTTTTTCTTCCATTTCTTCTTTGTTTTTGCCCTCCTTTTCTCAGGAAAAGGAGGAATTTCTTCCATTTTTCTTTCATTTTTTTCTTTCCATTTCTTTTTTGTTTCTTTCATTTTTCTTCCATTTTTTTCCTCCGATTTCTTTTTTGTTTCTTCCATTTTTCTTCCATATTTTTCCTTTATTTCTTCTTTGTTTCTTTCATTTTTCCTCCATTTTTTCTTCCATTTCTTCTTTGTTTTTTTCCTCCTTTTCTAAGAAAAAGGAAGATATTTCTTCCATTTCTTTTTTGTTTGTTCCATTTTTCTTCCATTTTTTTCCTTCCATTTCTTCTTTGTTTCTTCCGTTTTTCTTCAATTTTTTTCGTTTAGTTTCTTCTTTGTTTTCGTCCTCCTTTTCTCAGGAAAAGGAGGATATTTCTTCCATTTTTCTTCCATTTTTTTTCTTCCATTTCTTCTTTGTTTTTGTCCTCCTTTTCTCAGGAAAAGGAGGATATTACTTCCATTTTTCTTTTTTTTTCTTCTTCCATTTTTTTTTGTTTCTTCCATTTTTCTTCTATTTTTTTCTTCTATTTCTTCTTTGTTTTTCTTTGTATGCTTTCCTTGTCGTTATTTCTCCCACTAGAAGGACTTTTAGAGACCTTCATTAGGTTAAAAAAAAAGGAACATCCAAGGTCTGACTTTTCTTTTCATTACGATAAAATCCAGAACGACGACAGTGGGGATTAAATAATTCAATAATACAACATGTTTAATCCACTTTCTCCTGGTCGTTCCTGGTTCATTTTCAATAGGAAACAAACCTAAACGAGCCGGACCTCAAATCACAGCCACATCAAACAGTTTAGACTTATTTTCTTTAAATGATGACCAAAAATCTTCCATTTATAGATGCTGTCATGTGTGAGGAAATCTAATAACAGTTAAGAATAACTGGGAAACAGGTGTCCAGTAGCCAGTCTCTCCTCTGGACTCATTATATTACCTTTCTTGTACATTTTGATGATGTCTTGAATCTGTTGGCCAGTCCTGGAGGCCAGGATCTCGATCAGCACTTGATCATCAGTGCCTGCACCCTAAAAATCAAAGGCAGAGCACAGATGAGCTCATCGTGAAATTACACGGCTTTTCCTCTTGCGTTTCTGGTCCGAAAGCTTCAGGACAAGAGGTCTAGTTAGAGTTCTTAATCTAATCGTGTTCTTAAACAAAAAGAAAAAATCACAAGTGAATTGTAACTGAATTGTAAAAGAGAATAAGTAGCTGTGTGTTTAAAGTAGTTTAAATGAAAAACAATATCAACCTCTGTTCTTAGATTCATTTAAAGTACGTTTGGGGATTTGAATGAAAAAGTAAAACAGCAACATATTGACCAATGACAGTAAAATTAGGTACAAAAACGGGTTGTTTAACGCAGAAAACTTATGAAATATGCCGTCACAGTATATGCAGACTGTTCACTGTGAGAAAGTAATTTCTTTGTGCAGCTTTGACCCTCCTGTTGAGTCTAAATTAAACATATTTTACACATGAATAAGTAAATATTGATACAATACACATATATGTACATATAATAAAATTATGACATAAATAGAATATGATAGCATAATAAATAAGGCTTCTACCTATTACAACTCATTGTTCTCCATCTTTTCCCCCCTCAGAACTGGTCTCAGTTTTAACAAATCCTTTCTAAAAGCACATGTGTGCAAATTACTTGTTTGAAATGAATGTGAGCGGCTGCTGAGAGGAAGATGGGAGTCAGTTTTCCTATTCATAAGTCTGCGCATCCCAAATGAGACAAAGGTGTAGAGTTACATCTAATCAACTCAAAGCCAGGAGGGGGTCATCTATATGAAGAGATAAGTCCCAAAAGGGTTCATCAATGCCAAGAGGGGAACTGTAAAGTTTAAGTTTATAAGTTTATAACAGCACAGTGGATTCAAACTATGGAAGTAAATATGTGCCATCAGAATTTGAATAAAAAATAGCTCTGAAATTTGAATGTTGTATATTAGTGCTTACTTTTTCAGTATTAAAATAAATTCAGAATATATTTTTAACCTAAAAAAAATTCAATGTCATTATTTGTACATTTAAAAAAAAATTCATTGTAATTTTTTTTACATGGTTGCAATTTTCAGTTATTAAAAAAATTCACATTCCTACTTCAAAGTGATCAAATTTTCAATATAAATATTTTTCACAGTTTAAATTTTCAGTGTTAAAAAATTCAGCATATAAAAAATTCAACTTTTCAAAATTCAAATGCAATATTTTCGTTGTCCTCCTCCTGGGCAAAAACCAGGAATCTGCCATTAGTCACCTTGATGGCTTTGTGCAGTTGGGAAGCATCAAATGAAGAAGGTGGTGCCATCAAAGCCACGATCAGGTTCTCAAGAAGACCCCCCAGCTCAGATTTCAGGGCACCAACTAAGTCCTGCAGTCAAACGATGGCAAACGGTTCAAATCGTTAGCAAAAACATGAATAATTATTCTGCTGTTGAGATCAGCCGGTTTTTAAATGAACCACAGCTATGTCTGAATCATTTTTACTGAATTAGAAGAAAAACACAAGATTTTTGTCCTTTTTTAGGCAGAATGTGCTAAAACTTAGACTTAGACTCAACTTTATTTATCGTTTTATTTACTCCTTTAGGGAAATTCTGGTTCCAGTTGCTAATGTAGAGTACAAAGGACAGAGTTAAAGCAAGATGCCATTGAATAAAAAAAAATACAAAAGACAATATAAAAAGAGTGTATATGGTACAAAAGAGCATATAAAAAACTGTAATGTCCTGGAACATGTTCCTTTAGTATCTGCACAGTAAAGACTAACACTAAAGAGCTTCTGTTGTTTTCTGGCTTCAGATATTTTTCCAATTGAGCCATTTGAGAGAATCAGACCTTTAGAGATAGAACACATTCACACAGTGGTATAAATGAGTTTGTTCCATTGCTCAGTTTTGATAAAACACTGAAACTGATGTTTTTTTCCCCCTCTGACCATCTTCTGTCCATCCATTCGTGAGGCAATAGTTTCCTTTGCCAAAACGCCTGGCAATAACCTCCTGTGCTTTTTCACTAACTGCTTCTTGGGCTGGTCCTTTAAACTGCTGAGAATTGGTCTTTCCTGTGATTTCTGTGTTTTATGGCTCCCTCAATGATTGTTTACTGCTGCTACAAAATACATCCAAACAGATATTGGCTTTTTTTTTTTGTCATGGAGGAGATGGAAGCTGAAAAATACAATACAAAAGATTATGATCCCAAAAAATAAGGGTTCTCACAGAAGATGGGATGTTCAAAGATGACTAAAATATTCTTATTTTCTCTTTCATTAATGAATGCATACAATATAATGGCTATTATATAAAGTAATATTGTTCTTTGAAAGGTAGATATTTGATTGTTTTTCAAGTTTCATTAAAAATCTTCTCATATCTGGTCTTTCTGATCTGAAATTCTTAGTTTTTTTTGGTCTTGAATGTAAAATGCTTAGAAAACAATTAGTGAATAATGAGGATTTCAGAGAATACGCATCATTATTGATGGCCAACGTCTGTTTTATCCCTTGAGACTCACCTTTCCGTAGGCCTTTTTGTAGGCCGCCTTAATTTGCTGGCGCTGATCGTTGCTGCGGGAGGTCAGAAGCATGAGGATGGCGTCTTCATCTGTACCTGGAAAAACAGTTATGACCACATTCATCACAAAAGGAGGTCAACACAAAGCCTTTGAAGTGGTGATAAATGAGGGCAGAATTCGTCACGTACATATATGTCTCTTAAATAACCTTAAAACCAGTTCACGACACGTGAATTCAAGTATTGGTCTGTATTACATAATGATCAATGATGTATTCAGACTACCGTTCTTGGCATATATTTGCAATATATTTGCTCTATTTTTTTACTCATAAGTTTGTCTCAGCTCACAGAAGTTGTTTTTTAGCAACCTTAATATTAATTTTGTCACAAACTCAGTCTAATCCATCTAATTTTAATTAGAGCAGAGCGAAAGTCCAGGAAGGGATTTGTAGATGTTTTCTGAAATATTTGAAAGGTTAAATCATCTTAAATAAGATCTGTTTATTTCTCACTGTTTTTGGATTGTGAAGACATGAGCATCTGTATAATCTTTGGTCATGTTTTATCAAACTAAAATCGGTCTGGGTTTTAGTTTGAAGAGGTGTTGCTATCAACAGGATCAGGAAAACCTCCACAGACAAACGATGGAATAAACAGTAAAAAGAACAGCAGAGATATATGTTTAAAAAGCTCACCGATTCCTTTCATGGCTTTATGGAGAAGTTCTGCATCGTGTTTCGCATTGAAATTCACAAAAGGCCGAACACTTCCCCTGTTCTCCTGTGGGAGGACAGAAAAAAGCAAACTGATCCCAACCTGTGGTTTTTCTTTCTTTTTCTTCATTTTTCATTATTAATAACAAGTGATTTTCATTTTTATGTGTTTTCAATGCAAGTGCAAATTTTCACTGGCAGTGTTGACTTCAGATATTGTTTTTTAAAATTCACAAAACAATCAAACTAAATTCGGTTTTAATCTACTGGATTTAGACTGCGTTTTTATGCTGTTTACAATCTCTGCCTCAGCACAGAGACCCACTTCCATTAAATATTAATCCCAGCCAGCACCTCAGGCCTGTGGTACGAGCAATTTGTCAAGCTGCGAAAATAAGGAAGAAAACGTTTCATAATGTGCTTATAAATAGTTAAATATACTGAAATATGGTCAATGGACATCAGAAGTTGAGCCCCAACTCACACACTGGGGAAAAGAGCTGGTGTGAAGCTCTCCGCACTATCACAGATATTAAACAGATATTAAATAGATATTAAATAGATATTAAATAGATATTAAATAGATATTAAA